TTCTCAAACTCTTCCAAAGAAATAGAAGAGGGGATACCTCTAAGAAAGACATTTTACAAAGCCAGCATTACCCTGATACTAAAGCCAGACAAGGATGCCACCAAAAAAAAAAAACAAACAAAGGATATTGATCCTTGATGGACATAAATACAAAAATCCTCAACAAAATGTTAGCAAACCAAACTTAACAATACATTAAAAGGATCATATACCATGATCAAGTGAGATTTACTCCAGGGATAGCTCAACTTCCACAAATCAGTCAATGTTGATATACCACATTAACAAAATGAAGGATAAAAATCATATGATCATCTCAATGCAGAAAAAGCACTTTACAAAATTCAACATCCACTTATGATAAAAACTCTCAACAAAACAGGTACAGAGGGAACACAACTCATCATAAGGAAGGCATGTATGACAAGCCCACAGCTAACATCATACTCCATAGTGGAAAGCTGAAAGCTTTCCCTCTAAGATCAGGAACAAGATAAAGATATCTACTCTCCTCACTTCTATTCAACATAGTATTGGTAGTCCTACCCAGAGAAATTATCCAAGAAAAAGAAATACAAGGCATCCAAATTGGAAAGTAAGACTGTCACTATTTGCAGGTGACATCATATTACATATAGAAAACCCTAAAAACTCCATAAAAAACCATTAGAATAAAATCAACTGCAGGATACAAAACCAATACACAAAAATCTGTTATGCTTCCTTACACTAATAATGAACTATCAGAAAGAGAAATAAAGAAAGCAATCCCATTTACAATCATCAAAAAGAATATAATACCTAGGAATAAATTTAACCAAGGAGAGGAAAGATCTATATATTGAAAATTATAAGACATTAATAAAATAATTGAAGATGAGAAAAATATATTCCATGCTCATGGATTGGAAGAAATAATATTGTTAAAATGTACATATTATACAAAACAATCTACAGATTCAATATAATCTTTAACAAAATTCTAATGGTATTTTTCACAGAACAGAATAAACAAAACTAAAATTTGCATGGAACCACAAAAAGACCCAAATATCCAAAGCAATCTTGAGATAGAACAAAGCTGGAGGTTTCGTGCTCCCTGATTTGAAAGTACATTACAAAGCTGTAGTGATTAAAACAGTATGGTATTGTCATACAGACACACAGATCAATGGAATGAATAAAGAGCCCAGAAATAAACCCACACGTAAATGGTCTGTAAATTTATGACAAAGGAGCCAAGAATACACAATGGGGAAAGGACAGTCTCTTCAATAAATGGTGTTGGGAAAATAGACAGCCACATGCCAAAAAAATGAAACTTGACTACTGTATTACGTCATACACAAAAATTTACTCAAAATGGATTAAAGATTTGAATGTAAGATCTGAAACCATAAAACTCCTAGAAGAAAACATAGGTGGTAAGCTCCTGGACATTGGGCTTGGTGATGATTTTTTTGAAATTTGACACCAAAAGCAAAAATAAACAAGTGGGACTACATCAAACAAAAAAGCTTCTGTGCAGCAAAGGAAACCATCAACAAAACGAAAAGGCAACCTACTGAATGAGTGAAAATAACTGCAAAGTATATGTCTGTTAAGGGGTTAATATGCAAAATAGATAAAGAACTCATACAACTCAACACCAAAACAAAAACAATCTGATTAGAAAGTAGGCAGATGTGAATAGACATTTTCCCAAAGAAGACATACAGATGGCCAACATGTACATGAAAGGATGCTCAAAATAATCAGGAAAATGAAAATCAAAACTACAATGAAATGTCACCTCACATCTGTTAGAATGGCTAGAATCAAAAAAGATAAGATACAAGTGTTGGTGAGGATGTAGAGATAAAGAATGTACTGTGTTGGTGGGAATGTAAAATGGTGCAGCAACTGAGGAAAACAGTATGTAGATTCCCCAAAAATTAAAAATAGAACTACCATATGATCCAGCAATTCCATGTTTGGATATTTTTCAGAAGAAAGTGAAAACACTCATTTGAAAAGATATATGCATCCTTATGTTCATTGCAGAATTATTTACAATAGCCAAGATAGGGAAACAACCTAAGTGTCCATTGATAGATGGAGGGATAAAGAAATTGTGACATATATACATATAGAATGGAATACTATTCAGTCACTAAAAAGAATGAAACCTTGCCATTTGTGACAACATGATGGACCTTGAGGCATTATATTAAGTGAAATAAGTCAGATAGAGAAAGGCAAATACCATACGAGCTATCTTATATGTGGAATCCTAAAAAAGAAAAAAAAAGCTGAAGACATGGGGAATAGATGAGTGGTACAAGAGGTGGGGAGTGAAGGATGGGAGAAAATAATTAAAAGCTAAAGCCAGGGGATACAAATATTTAATGGGAACTTTCTAATATATTACTATATAGAAAAGTACAAAAAGATGGCAAATATTTAGAAAGTATTTGCTTTACAGATGTTAAGAATAGATACTAATTCATGTTGCATATTTATGCTTCTGGTTATTCTATCACTGGTGGTTACCATAAAATTGAATTGTTTGGCAAACTCTCATAGGACAGTCTACACTGACTGGAAGGACTTATTTTTATATAGTTAACCTCAGGACCAAAATATTCATATATTGATTTGTTGAAGAAAATAGTATTTGCTTACTTAATGTTTGAAAGAGATAACTGTGTTTTATAATAAACCATTATGACTTCAGTAATTTTGCTATAATTAACCAGTATAAAACCATATATATCCCTTTGAAGTTATGAAAATCTACCTGTTTTCCTCTTGAATCATTAACAAAAGTAAAAATAAAAGTGATTATAGAAGAATATTTAAAAACAAAAACACAGAACCATGACTTTTCTTTACAACCCAACACAGAGATCTGCTCCCAGAAAGAGCCAGTAATACTGGCAGACACTTTTTCAGGTTTTATACAAGGCATAAATCCAGATTCAGGAAGCACAACAAATCCTAAACAGAAAAAGTAAAAAATAAACCACATACATGCATGATGTTATTAAACTACAGAATTGTAGAATAAAGTAAAAGAGAACAATGGAAACCAGAGGAATAAAAACTCTTACTCAGTAAGAACTTCAGAGGCAGTTAAATTAGCATTCAAGAATGAGTAAAAAATGAAAACATGTTCTGACTAGATATATGCTATGGGCAGGTGGTAGTAAAAGTTCACCTCAGATGGCCATATACTGCTTATCAAGAATTTTAATACAATAATAAAAAAAACTGAATAAAAATTAGTTTGCTTTTTAAGAATTGCAATGTCAGTGATAAAACACTTCCGCTGCTGGGATAAATCATTCCCACCATTTTATATTTTGTATACAACTGGTTCAGACAAAGGAAGCTGAGGGAATTTCCAACAAATCTGTATTAAAGAAACTCTAAAACTATATTTAAAAGAAAGACAAAAGAAGAAAAAAGTTCAAGATACAAGAAATAAAGGTGAAGAAAAACGTAAGCATAGATAAACTAAGTAAACACTGCATAAAGCAATAATAATGTCCAATTTATGCAGTGTGCTTAAAAGAAAAGAAATCCTCAAAAAATTTAAACTACCATACAATCCAGCAATTCCACTCTGGGGTACTTATATGAAGAAAGTGAAAACACTAACTCAAAAGATATATGCAACCCCATATTCATTAAAGCATTTATTTAAAATAGTCAAGATATGGAAACAACCTAACTCATCCACTGATGGGTGAATGAGTAAAGAAATGAATGGGTAATGAAAAGCACATATACACATATATATACATACACATATACACACACATATATAAATGTATAATATACAATATTATTCAATACTCTATTATTGTAATAATATTCCAATATATTATTATAAAAAGAATGAAATCTTGCCATTTGCAACAACACAAACAGATCTTGCAGGCATTATGCTAAGTTGCATATTTGGTTAGGACCTCCTAAGGCCTTGGGAAGAAAAGAATATTTGGCACCATGGTTTTCTGTGTACACAAAGGTATGACTGTGGTTCTGTAATCTTACTGTAACCCTACAAGTTGAAAGTGCAAGAACAGAATTACTGAAATAATATTTGTTAATTCTTTCTATTTTTCGGGGGGAAATCCCACAAAAGCACCAGAGAATGAAAATGTAGGACATCCTTACTAAAACACATGGGAGGAAGGACAGTGACAGTTCAAGTGTTCTAGAGATTGTGGTTAACTTCAGATATTTAGTTAAGTTCACATGTTAAATATTTAACAGTAACCCTAGAGGAAGAAAACAGACTCTATAACTTTTAAGTCAATAGAAGAAAGTAAAAATAAATTAACTGATTGAATTACAAATTCATGTTACCTAACTTCAACTTGGCCTTTATTATGGCTAGACAATCCTTTTCTTCATCTGCTGATTCTGTCACATTTCTTACAGTGATAATTCCCAAACTCTTATACCAGAGTTTGGTATATCCCCATGCTATAAAATAACATTCTTTACCTACTTTACTAAGAAATTTGAAGCTATCTGTATATCCTCATCTGCCCTGGGTTAACAGTAACAGCCTTGCTCCAATGATTGAAATATTGTCTCTCTACACTGACAGACCAGCTGCATTTTCCTCCTAAAAATGTGCGTAGATCTGTTTCATCCCAAAATATCCTCCCCTCAACTCTGCTATGCTCTTTTAAGTTAAAGCCCCTTTTCTTAGTTTCTGATTCTGGATTACATATAATCCATAGTCACAAAGGGTACACAATTTAGCTCCTATTTTTTTCCTTATATTTTTTCTTGCAACATGATGTTGAAAATTGGCTCAAGATAGGCATGATCATTGGAGGTCCCATAAAGCAAAGACTGGGAATAATTTTCTTTATACAGCATCAAGAACAAGCAGATATAAAATAAAGTCTTTTTTATATACATACTATTGTTTTCTTATATTTACACAAGTTAGAAAACTGAGACAACTTAGTCTATGTTCAAATCTTAGAGCCTCTTACCCTTTCTTAGTTTCCGGACAGCCAACATACAATGACTAGGAGAGAGATCCCATATTCTTAAGGTTTTATCATCACTTACAGTGGCACAGATGGGCAGATAAGGATGCACAGCCAAACCCCACACCTCTCCGTCCATGTGTCCCTACAGAGAAAACAGTTAAGTTCAATTTAACCTACAAATATGTGTATTTAGAAGAACACTAAAGCCATATGATGTTATATGATAATGACAAGATAATGGATAATGGATAAATCTAATAAAACTTTGGTCTTTATCTTTGGAATACACTTAAAATAACCTTTGTAACAACTTTATCACCACAATTATAATATAATCAAATTACTATTGTGAAAAGTAATTAAGGGAAACCGCACAGTATGGCATCAGGAGGCTTGCAGAAGCTCTCATGCTCATCATTCCTCGTAAATCTCAGATCCCATCAGAAGACCACAGATGCCATACTGTCTTAGCTGCTTTACCACCCAGCAGAAGGAAGGTAGCTTCCACCTTCTGCCTCCCAGCTACAGCCCAGCCAGTGAGGGACAGCCAGTGAGAGACTGTCACAATTTGGCCAATGAGAAGTCATGATACATGGGACTCCCAGTTTACTCCAATGGACTTTTTGCATAGAAACGGCCTCCTAACTCAGCACCTTCCTCTATAAAAGTTTTCCTCTCCTTTGTTCTCTGGTCATGCCTATGGTTCTGCTATAGCTTGCATGTACCAGACTGCAATTCTCTGCTATTCCTGAAAAAACCCATTTCTGCTGATAAAATCACAGACTGTTTTAATTTTAAAGTTAACACTATTAAAATTAGCTTAAAATCCTAAATATTCACTGGTGGAGAGACTAGGAATAGGCTGCCATGGAATGTTAGTAATTACCATACAGGGTAGATGACTTCCTGCATGACAGAATAAGGAGTGCTGCAGACCTGCTCACCAGTGAAACTAGTAAAAATTGTTTTTTAAGAACACATTTAAAGTCTCTGGACATGGTTCCAAGGAGATACGACAAATGAAGAAATATTTACTCAACAAAATCTGCTAAAATTTGGTAAGAACAGTGAGACTTGGCAGTAACTGAACTGCAATCTATCCCTTTTCTGCCCTTTCCCAACTCATAGCGTGGCAAGTCCACACCAGAATGATGTAACCAAAAACACAGAGCTCTCTCTCCCCAGCCATAGTTGGAGGGCTGTCTTCTTAGAAGAGGCAGTTGTCAAAGTATCAGAATTTTTTTAATCATGCCCCCAGCTACCTGCTATTGAGGCTAAGTTCAGAGTGAGTGCTACTGAGAGGTGGGAGCTCCCTTCTGCCCATCTGTTATAACATGGAGGCTCTACACTGGGTGAGGTGCCACTAAGAATACTGGGGCCTCAATGTCAACCCACAAAGGCCCTCCTCCTCCCTCTTCTCCCCCAGGGTTCAGCTTCTAAGCAGTAAACTCAGAAATGAGCACTCTATTTTTCTCACCCTCAACTCCAGAGCCTTGGATAAGAGATTTTTCCTGGAGAGAGAAGCAAGGGATACAACAGCTCCTAATCTCTTCTCAAAGGAACTGACTTCATTTACTATACAGTGTGCAACAGTTCAAGCCTTAAGGTGCTCTCAAAAAAAAAAAAAAAGGAGATTGTGATGAAAGGTAACTGGGAGGTGACTGGTAGACTTATTAGGCATTTAGGCTAAACTGAAAGCCAGCTAGATTCTCCAGGAGAACGAGGGAAATCTCAGAGATAGCTGAGAGGAGGCAGTTTAAAGTCAGAACAAATCTCAAACACTAATCTAGGGAACTGTCTCTTTTAAGGAGCCTAAATTGGAATTGGTTTAGTCTGTGAAGCAATGTATGCTCCCAGGAAATGTTAAAACAATTGAGTATTCAGCCAGCAATTAACACAGTTTCCACAGCGGGGTGTGGTCAGACAAAGAGACCATCAAAGAGGAGAGAACACTTCCCAAATTATTTTATGGAGTCATTATCCTTATAGCAAAACCAGACAGTCGTCATAAGAAAACTACAGACCAATATCCCGTATAAATATGTATGCTAAAATCCTCAACAAAATACTAGCAAACTGATTCCAACATGTAAAATAATTAAATACCACCAGCAAGTGGGATTTATGCCAGGAATGCAAGGTTGGTTTAAAATTTACAACGAATTAATGTAATACACCATATCAATAGAAAAAAACACAAAAACTATACAACCATCCCGAGAGATACAGATGCTTCTGATAAATGACACAATCTTTCATGATAAAAACACAGAACATATTAGGAATAAAAGTTCTTCAACCTGATAAAGGTCATCTATGAAAACTCCACAGTTAATATTGCACTTAATTGAAAGATTGAATACTTCTTCCCTAAAATTAGAAACAAGACAAGGATGTCTGCTCTCACTCCTTCTATTCAACATTGTATTGGATGTTCCAGCCCAGATACTTAGGTAAGAAAAAGAGAACTAACAGGCATCCAGCTTGAAAAAGGATAAATGAAACTATCTCTATTGACAGATGACACAATCTTATATATAGAAAATCCTATAAAATCCACTAAAAAACTATTAGAATTAATAAGTGAAGTCAGTTATTTTAACAAAATTAGTATGAAACTTGTACACTGACAACTATAAAATTGTTGAGAGAAGTTAAAGATCTAAATAAATGGAGAGATCTCATGTTCATTGATCACAAGATTTAATACTAGAGGCACTAATTCCCAAACTAATCCATAGAGTACTGCTCCTGCAAACATTGTACATGTTTTGTGGGTGTGTGTGTATATATATGCACTTCTGTTGTGTACATATATTCCCACACTTCTAATTATTATAGTTTTATATTATCTTTATTTCTAGCATGGGGAGTTTCTCAAAAAACTTCTAGACTATTTTTGAATATCCAAGGTATTCCACATAATAACATGTATATATATTTACTGATATCTACTCATTTAGCTATAATTAAATTAAACAATTTTGATACATACTAATATTAGCAAATATTTCCCTAATTAATTTAACATTTTTCACCACTGGCAACTTTTGGCTGCTAAGTATTGAATCCACTGTACACAAAGGAAAAAAAGGTATATTAATATTTAAAATTACCTGGACCAGAAGTGTTATCGGGCCACTTTTATCCACTTCGAGTATTTCACCATTTTTTGTGCCAACTAAAATATGACCATGTCCTAATGATATGGCACGTATAGATGGATTATCTTCCAAGAGAAGACCTGGAATGTTAAATGGAGATGTTCTCTAGGTATGAAGTTACTATAACACACAGATGTATATATTGCCAATAACGCTGTTTTGATAATGAGGATCACCTTACAAAGTTGCTTTTTCCTAGATTTTAAGTATTCTAATAAATGCATTGCATTTTCCTCATTCAATTTACTAATATCAAAAGAAAGTACCACCTCTATTTCGCAATTTATCATTCTGCATTATCCCAGATCCCCCTCTACCATTCTGACAACTGTTTCTTTTCCTCTTATATTTGCCCTTCTCATCTACTTCCTGACCCTCTTAGAACATGTACAATATTCTAGTTACTCATTTTAATTCAATTCATTTTAAGATTAATTCATTTGTCCCTACTGTGTCCGAGGCGGGCTTCAGAGCTATATTGGTAAACATGACAGAGCCAGTTCCTGCCTTCAGAGAGCATGCAATGAGGAAAATAGACCTTTTGTGAGCAGCATATTGAAAAAGAAGCATAAAGGGAACGTAACCTTTTATGGGGGACAGGGATGAGAGTGGAAGAAATTATCCTAGAAGCAATAACATGAGATTTGAAAAATGTGTATAAGGTCAAGTCATTGGAGAGAGCAGAAGGAGGAGAAAGGACACATCGAAGGCCAAGTAAAAGTACATAGAAAGATCTAGAGGGTCAGAAAGAGTGTGATGCAGTGCCTTAAAGCACTGAGAGAAAGGGTAAAAGGAATAAGGGTCTGCAAGGCTAGGCTGGGTCAATAAAACAACAAGGTGAAACAAAATGCCGAGTATGAGAACAAATTCCTGAGGTTTGAAATGTGCACTCACATGGCAATTTTTTTGAAAAATTAAAAATGTTAAAAATTAATAGTAATCATGTACTTGGTTAATATTTTACCATGTGTATCATGGAACATAGATTTTTGAACAGATGGCAATGATTTTGGCATCCAGTTAAATGGCTTCTCCCATTCAACTCTGATGTCTAATAAAAAAGAAAAAATATATTCCATGTGCGCCAGTTCAGTGACATGCATGTTAATGAGCAATTAATCTTTCATACTACAAACTAAATTAAATCTCAATTCACCTTTAGATCCTGGAGCCAAAGCAGCTCTTTTTATAGCATAGGTCTTGAGACATCTTTCAAAGGAGTCATCCCAAAGAGCTACTACACCATCTTTTCCTCCAGTTATAAATCCCTATGAGAGTAAAAGGTCAAGTTAATAAAGATCTAAGTATTTTAAAAATAACCTTTGCATTGAAAAACTTTAGAAGAAAGAATATTTATAGCCAAAAGCTGTATCCTATAAAGTACAGAAATTAGCACAAGAATCATGATGTTTGTTTAAACATCACCATGAAATTTGCAGAAATACAGTGACACTAAACATTCTACTTAACACAGTTTGTAATTTGGAATCATAAGTAGCTCCACCACTTTCAGCAATGTACACATATTCTCTTGAAAGCTTCATAATTCCTTCAAAGAGAGGATAGTAACAGTATCTACCTCACAGGATATGGTGATAATATATAAAGCACTAAAACTATTTTGACACATAGTAAGTGATAAATAAATATTAAACTTTTTTAAAATAGCAAATTGATTTCATTCTGGGTTCAGGAGTTTGAAAGGAGGAATAAAACAAGGTCAGGAAGACTCCAGTCTACAGATTATTACTGGGTGGCTCAGATAAGTAGAAAGACAATGTTACTTTGCATGTGAAAATGCTCTACATTCCATGATCAAGTTGTGTTTAACTTAAAATATCTTCAGGTTACTTACTTTTTCCAATGCATACATACTGAACACTGGCCCATCATGTGCTTTAACTGTTTTTACAAGAAAGATGTCTCTCCAGATACACACATCTCCTGCGGATGTTCCAGAAAAAGCCATCTCTTCAGTCCATCCATATACTGCACACATCATTGTGTCATTTTTCCCCAGTGCGCCTATGTAGCCTTTTCTTCCAATCAATCCTCCCCCTGGTTCATAAAAAATATTGCAAAAGTACCACTTTCAAAATGTATAAAGTTAAAAAGCAATACAGTTTTTTTCTGCTGTTGTTGTTAAATAGACATGAAACAGTAAGGACAGTTAAGGAAGAATTCTCATCTACTTCCTGACCCTCTTAGAACATGTACAATATTCTAGTTACTCATTTTAATTCAATTCATTTTAAGATTAATTCATTTGTCCCTACTGTGTCCGAGGCGGGCTTCAGAGCTATATTGGTAAACATGACAGAGCCAGTTCCTGCCTTCAGAGAGCATGCAATGAGGAAAATAGACCTTTTGTGAGCAGCATATTGAAAAAGAAGCATAAAGGGAACGTAACCTTTTATGGGGGACAGGGATGAGAGTGGAAGAAATTATCCTAGAAGCAATAACATGAGATTTGAAAAATGTGTATAAGGTCAAGTCATTGGAGAGAGCAGAAGGAGGAGAAAGGACACATCGAAGGCCAAGTAAAAGTACATAGAAAGATCTAGAGGGTCAGAAAGAGTGTGATGCAGTGCCTTAAAGCACTGAGAGAAAGGGTAAAAGGAATAAGGGTCTGCAAGGCTAGGCTGGGTCAATAAAACAACAAGGTGAAACAAAATGCCGAGTATGAGAACAAATTCCTGAGGTTTGAAATGTGCACTCACATGGCAATTTTTTTGAAAAATTAAAAATGTTAAAAATTAATAGTAATCATGTACTTGGTTAATATTTTACCATGTGTATCATGGAACATAGATTTTTGAACAGATGGCAATGATTTTGGCATCCAGTTAAATGGCTTCTCCCATTCAACTCTGATGTCTAATAAAAAAGAAAAAATATATTCCATGTGCGCCAGTTCAGTGACATGCATGTTAATGAGCAATTAATCTTTCATACTACAAACTAAATTAAATCTCAATTCACCTTTAGATCCTGGAGCCAAAGCAGCTCTTTTTATAGCATAGGTCTTGAGACATCTTTCAAAGGAGTCATCCCAAAGAGCTACTACACCATCTTTTCCTCCAGTTATAAATCCCTATGAGAGTAAAAGGTCAAGTTAATAAAGATCTAAGTATTTTAAAAATAACCTTTGCATTGAAAAACTTTAGAAGAAAGAATATTTATAGCCAAAAGCTGTATCCTATAAAGTACAGAAATTAGCACAAGAATCATGATGTTTGTTTAAACATCACCATGAAATTTGCAGAAATACAGTGACACTAAACATTCTACTTAACACAGTTTGTAATTTGGAATCATAAGTAGCTCCACCACTTTCAGCAATGTACACATATTCTCTTGAAAGCTTCATAATTCCTTCAAAGAGAGGATAGTAACAGTATCTACCTCACAGGATATGGTGATAATATATAAAGCACTAAAACTATTTTGACACATAGTAAGTGATAAATAAATATTAAACTTTTTTAAAATAGCAAATTGATTTCATTCTGGGTTCAGGAGTTTGAAAGGAGGAATAAAACAAGGTCAGGAAGACTCCAGTCTACAGATTATTACTGGGTGGCTCAGATAAGTAGAAAGACAATGTTACTTTGCATGTGAAAATGCTCTACATTCCATGATCAAGTTGTGTTTAACTTAAAATATCTTCAGGTTACTTACTTTTTCCAATGCATACATACTGAACACTGGCCCATCATGTGCTTTAACTGTTTTTACAAGAAAGATGTCTCTCCAGATACACACATCTCCTGCGGATGTTCCAGAAAAAGCCATCTCTTCAGTCCATCCATATACTGCACACATCATTGTGTCATTTTTCCCCAGTGCGCCTATGTAGCCTTTTCTTCCAATCAATCCTCCCCCTGGTTCATAAAAAATATTGCAAAAGTACCACTTTCAAAATGTATAAAGTTAAAAAGCAATACAGTTTTTTTCTGCTGTTGTTGTTAAATAGACATGAAACAGTAAGGACAGTTAAGGAAGAATGTGCATCTCCCAATCAGTGTCCTGGGCAACACTCTGCCTGGCTGAGACAGCTGTATCACAGCTGCTTTTAGCCCATAGCTTTTTGAAAAAACAAAAACATACACTATGTTAGTTTTAATCAGTCCTCCACACTTTTGGTTGTTTTTCAAAATTTTTATTAAGAAATATTTAAGAAAAAGGTATAAAATTCAATATAATGAACACCTATAATAAATCCACGATCACCTTAAAGTTACTAAAACAACTGAAATGTGATGACAACCTCATCTCCCCTCTTCACCCACTACTATTCTGAATGTGATTTTGATTATTCTCATGTATTCCTTTATACATATGTTGCTATTTATTTATGAATGCTTAGGCAATGTTATATTACTTTTTTATGTTTAAAGAAATTTTTTTTATAAAAACCACCTTTATGTATTTTTTTGCAACTTGCTTTTTCACTAAAGATTTGTATGCAGTTTTATACATACCTCTAGAAAACTCTTTGTATAATACATTCCATTTTATAAACAATAGTCTGTCCATTTTCCTAGTAATGGGCACTTAAGTTGCTTTCAAGTTTTTGCTATTGAAAACAATGCTGCTTTTAAACAAAACAAAATGAACAAAACAGCAATAGACTCATAGTCACTGAGAAGTGACTGATTGTTACCATTGGGGAAGGGAGTGTTACAGGTAGGTGAAATAGGTGAAGGGGATAAAGAAACACAAAATCCCAATCATAATATGAATTAGTCACAGATTGAAAGTACAGCACAGAGAATATAGTCAATATGTTGACAGTAACTACACTAAGTTGGGGGTGAGTATTAATAATGTATACAACTGTCGAATCATTATGCTGCATACTTGAAACCAATGTAATATCATATATCAACTAGATTTCAATAAAAAATATATAAAAAAAGAAATTCTGCTTTAAGCATATGTACACTATGATTTGATGAATTTGTGAAAAAGTATTAAAAAGCTGAAAGCTGATTCATGTTATATATAATTTACAATTTGAAAGTTGCTTAATATGTGAAATTATACAAAAAAATACTGTATGATTATCATCAAACTTGCTGAGACTAAAATTTATTGATTCCAACCACTAAAAAGGTTCATTATGTAATGTGGTAGATGTAGTGTAGTAATTACCACAATGTCAATCATCAAGATATTAAAATATATCAAATTAATATGTACACTTTAAAATTATATAATGTTATATGTCAACTATATTTCAATAAAAAATATTGGAACATTTTTTAAAAAAGAAAGTTACTTGAACTTGGCAAATGTTTTCACTGAGCCTATTCTTTTCTAAGAAGTTTCACTTCTTCCTACACTTACAGTTTTACCTGAAAGATTTAACTGAGACTTTGATATCAAAATTTTGGAGGTTACAAGAATACTACTATTCTATTTAGAAAAGAGAAATTTCTTATTTTAAGTGTGAATTTCTCCCACAGTTACTAATTTATAGTTACAAGTGACTAAAGGAATATAACTTTCCATTTTTATATCATTTTATAGAATACAAAGAATTTTTACAAAATTTTTAATTTTCAGTTTATACTACAAAAACATTTCTTTAACAGAAGAAAGGAATCTAGACATCACTTGATTAATCCCATAAATTAAAATTAAATCCCTTTACAATTATGAATACTACACCAGTGCGGCCAATAAATGATAAAATAAATCTTACATTTGTTCAAAATGTACCAATTGTGAATCACTTAAAAAAAATAAACTTTTTATTTCGGACACTTTTAGATTTTCATAAAACATGCAAAAATAACAAACTGTTCTTGTATAATCCTCTCCCAGTTTCCCCAGTGTTAACATCTTATGTTACTATAGACTATTTGTCAAAACTAAAAACCAACATGTTGGTACATTACTATTAACTAAACTCCAGACTTCATTCAGATTTCATCTGTTGTCTTTTTCTGTTCTAGGATCCAGTGTACAACATCACACTACACTTAGCTAAATCACTTTTAAAAGAAATATTTTCTTTAAGTTCATAGGAGTAAAAAGAAGCATTTCCTTACCTGCTCTATGCCAAAATTTCATGTGTTTAATTCCAGCTGTAATTAATTTATCAGGCACGTAGGGGTTCATCTTTACAACAAAAATCTTATCTTTACTTCCTCTGAAATAAATACCAAAATGTTTTAACTCGGAAGGTAAATCTCTTCTGTAACAATCTTATGGCTAATCCATACCCAATCCTGATTACTCCATGAATGAGTGTTGGCCCACTTGTCTCTCTCAAGTTTAAACTATGTAATCATGCATTTGTGATATTGCTATTTCATCACTATCTGAATTTATTAACTCTTCTCAACAGAGTCTTGGAAGATAGAAACAATGAGAACTAACCTTCTTTTTTACAGTACCTACTATAGCACTGCGCACAGGAAATGTTATTTGTGGCATGAATGAGTTAAAGAAAAAGAATTTTAATCCTTTGTTAGAGCTTAATATAGCCTTTCCAAATACAAAGTTCCTCTTAAACTGCCTTTTATTTGAGCATTGTCCATATAATCTGAAAAAAGCATTTATCTTTCTAAAGTGCATTAATGTCTCACTTTAAGGAATAAGAAGTTAAAAAATAGTTTCTGACACTGTTGACTATTTTCTCTTTAAAGCAATTGTCAATATTTATTACAAAAATAATACATGCTCATTATAAAAAATGTAACGAATGAAAAAACATTGAAAATTAAAATAACCTATTGTCTCTTTGTGATATATGTGCTGTGTATTTGTCTTCTTTCACTCAAATATATAATGTGAGCATTTTACCACACTTTCCAATGGCTATATAACAGCTATATAGCAGAATCCACTCTTCTTATAAATGGAAGTTTTAGACAATAGCTATTTCCAATATCATACTACAGCAATAATAAAAAGTGGGTTCACAGGGGATAAATCTACAGATAAGTCTAGAAATCATGTCTTAACCTTGATAATAAGGATGGAAGCAATAAAAAAGTTACATGTTTGTTTGATCTCAAAACTATTTTAATCAAAAAAATTTTAAGACCGAAGTAATTTCAGTATTTTGCCAATGATATATCAAGTTTTTTCCTTACCTTGCTATAGAAAGTTTCTCTCCTTTCTTCCAGTCCCAAAGCACAATAGAGTGGCTATCATCTATTCCAGCTGAAGCCAACCGTTTCCCATCCGCTATGAAATTAATTAGAGAAATTATACGGACCATTAACGTTCAGAAGATGAAACATATTCAGTACATATTCTAAAACCACAGCGCCATATTTAAGATTTTATAAAATAATGTTAAATGCTAGGCATTCATACAGCTATAAAAAGAAGCAGGATTTATAAGGGGCTGGGGAGAAAACAGTTTTTCAACATATCTAACCAAATCTGCTGACATTTGTTCTGACTTCATTTTCCTTATCCAGATTGGGATAGGGGAAAGAAAGAAGGTAAGAAAATATAAAAAAATGAGAAGGAAAGGAAAAACTCAGAAAGAAGGAAGAAAAGCTTTACTTCAATTAAATTTACCGTAAGAACTCTATTATAGTAAGAACTCTTAGTGATTATAAAAAATTAATCAAATGAAAAGATGTAGGTTACAGCTATGTATTGCCACTAATATGACTGTTTTTAGTGGTCAATTATTTTAGTCACATTATCAAGCAACAGGTAATGAATGTCTTAGACAAATCATTAAGTCAGTCATGCTGAGAGGTGTGTACATATTTAGGTTATAAAGGCTCAAACTACAGCAGAACTCTTGTCACTGCCATACTTTTTGCAAACCTCAATTAGTTCGTTATTATTACTAGTGGTATTTTTTCTTGTCATCTCCCTTAGTTTGCTATTCATTTTCTTGTTTCTTGACTTTCAGTAGATCCCTAAATGTGTATATACTTATTTCCCCCCAAAACTCTACTATGAATAATTCACTATCACTTCAGTCAGAGCAGAAAATATAAATTTACTATTGTGTCTTAATATAAAATTCTCTATTAATGGTATTTTTCCCTCCTCTTCCTGATTCACAGCCTAGGTTTGATTGTAAATCTATGTACAGTTGTTGAACTTTTAAATATACATCAAAGAGCTAAGATGATCTGAAATTATTTTGGTAAAACAGCTTGGAATTGTCACTTCATAGAACTGTTATAAAACAAATTATTTCAGCTCTTACCTCCTTCTTTCTTAGCTTTCACCCTAAACATTTTCAAAGTTTACTCTGGGACTGTAAAACATTAAGTGCGATCAAGGTTTTCCCAGGTGGGAGATATATACCACTAGTGGTAATTCAGACGATTTTAGATGTTATGTAGACATTTAAAATTGTAAACATATTTCTATTAGTATTAAAAATTATACCCATTAAATTATAATTATAAACCAGCCAGCAAACCCACATTTTTCATAGCTCTTATTTGTTAGGACAACAGTGTACACATTTGATAAAAATTATGAATGTCATAGCTAAATGAAAAATTTAGGCAACACTGATTTAGAGTGAAATTCTATGTATTGCCTCTGCATTTTGATCATTTTTACTAGGCCAGAAAACAGCCTTACCTGAAAAATCAACAGCACAGACACCACATTGGTGGTAGCCCTTTAATATCGACAATGGTTTAATGGTCTCTGTATCCCATATGTGAATTGAAGGATCCCTACCTACCTAAAAAACAGAGAATTATAAAAATCACTTTATATGATTAAATAATTTATTTTCATAGTTATTAAAGGAAATAAAACAGGAGTTTTACAGCCTCTGTCTTTTGCTATAAACCTTTGTCAAATAAAAAATACAAAGCATACTGTATATTGTTACTTTTTTTCTTACATTTGTTGAAAAGCTAATGAAGCTAGGCTCAGTGTTTCTGGGAATGTTCTAGATTTATTTGACTCCTGTATCTTTTGTTTTTTTATTAAGGTATCATTGATATACAATCTCACAAAAGTTTCACATGAGCAATATGTTACGTGACCATCAAGTTTTTTTGTTCTATTTAACTTCAGCAGAGTTTGATGCTTCAGTAACTTCACAATACCACTCTCTTTCTCGGGTCTCCTAGACTCTTCCTACTGAGTCCAGTAGGCATCTCATGGAAATTATGATGATGATGAAGACTAACATTTACTGAGAACTCCCTTATGTTCCAGAAACTGTTCTGAACACTTTACAAGGACCGACTCATCCAACAATCACAGCTCTGTGAGTTAGGCACTGACAGTATCCTTGCTTTAAAAGATGTGGAAACTGAGGCATAGAGAGATCAGGTAATCTTCCCACAGCTAATAAGCAGAGGAGTTTGAATGTAAACACCACATTTAGGGCTAGCTGAAGTAATAACAGTGTTATTAGAGCACCCTTGGGGTATGTCAGTCAGGGATGAGGGGAGAAGGGAGAGGTGAGGCAAGTTCTCAGATATGTTATGTAACCTACATCTTACAAGGAGGAGTAGGAATTAAGAGGAAGCTGGAGGTCTGAATAGAAGTGGAGAGGAAAAATTTTCCAAGAGGGAACTAAGCAAAAGATATGAAACAGCATTATACATGTTCAACAAATTCTAAATAGTTCAGAAGGTAGGAGCATAGTTTATAAGGTGAATGGTAAAAGATAAAAGAGGAATTTGGAGTTAGGCTAGGTTAAATGTCTTGAATGGCATGCTAATAAGCTTAGACATTAGCCTAAAAGCTAACAAACACTGAAGAAAAGAAAGACTACTAGTGGATAAGGAAAAAACTGAAGGCAGGAAACCAGCTCGTTGGTTATACCAAAAGATTAGAAATTATGAAGTACTGAATTGCCAGTAGAGATAAAGTAAGATCTAAAAAAAACAGCTAAGCAGAGATATATTCAGCAGAGAGAATCAAGCTATATTCAGGGCAAATGTATGTAACTCTGAAACCGACTGGCTATAAAAAGCGAAGGAAAACAAGGCTTGATTCTCAGGCTTGGACAACCATGTTGATACAGTGCCATGTTCTAAGTAGGAAGCACATGAGGATGAGGAGTTATAGCACGTAGATAGCCAGACATGAGCAGGGAAGGGGAAGGGGTGGGGGGCCTCTGGCTGGTGTTCACTATTATGCTTACTTATATTCTACAAATTCCGTGTTAGCTGTTCTCTTGGGAGATGGAATGAGAATATAAATAACTAGTTCCAACATGGAGGAGAAATCATACCTCCTGTACCACAACAGTACCAATATGGATCAAATATAATCAAAAGTCCCTCCACCCAACGCGAGGATGGAGCAAGCCCAAACTCCAAGAAGACTCCCCCAGTTCCCTTTGAAACCTAATCCCACTTAGTGAATATGCTTCAAAAGCTCCTTATTGTTCCTTCTGAGTGATCCCCTCTGGGTCTGCTCATGCCCCAACTCTTTGGGTCCTTCTTTTCAACTCCAAATCTCCAAACTAACTCTTAATGGTCAGTGGCTCTTCTGCACCTATTCTTGAATTCTTTCTCGCAAGGAGACCAAGGACCCAACTCTGGTAGCATCTTGGAAGCTTAATCCCATTTCTTCCCATTTTAGACATGCTGAATATGAGCTACCCACAAGACATCTAAATGATTATATTTTTAGTGAATTATATGTATACAGAAATTCATCCAACTTGAGGTAAAGCAGGGAAAAGGAACAAGGGTCATGCCACTGTAAAATCTACTTAGCCTGAGAAAATGACTCATCGTATTCTTTAACTTAATCTATATGCTGTTTTTCCTCTTCTTCCAGCCCCTTAATCAATTAAGTAACTCTGTGACCTGGAGGAGAGACAGACCTCTGCAGTGTAAATGAACCTACCTGGGTAAAGAATGCTGGATAAACACAGTCATCTAAATAACCCTATTCTTCAGACAAAATTTAAAGGAATTATTAATCACCTGTATACATCACGTCTTATGCAGACCCCTACCCAAAAGGCCCTATAAAACCCCAACCCTGAACTCTTAAGGCACCTCCTCTCTGTGGTTGCCCACACTCCCATCTGAGTGTGCACTCTTACCGAATAAACTTTTTTTCTGCATAAGCCTATTGCACCTGTCTCTGAATTCTTTCTCACAATAAAGAACTCACCAAACTCCACCTCCAGTGGTGTCTGTCATTTCGCTATTTCACTCAGCATTCTACTCTTAACACAATCCTCTTCTCTCTCCCTGTTTTATTTCAGTAAGGAAGTAGAAGTTCTAAAATACAATGTCACTCCATCAAGTACTCTGCAGCTCCCCCAAATACTGGGGTGGTAGGAATATAATTCCCATGTAATACAGATCAAGCAGACATTGGATGCCAGGTAACCCTGGTTTTAGGAGTTGACAAGGGATTTGCCTTATACCAAGCAGGAGTTGAATGAACTTCCCTTTTCTCCCTCTGCTCTTCCTTCTATTGCCTGCACAGCTGCTGACATTTGCTTTCACTTTTGTTTTAATGATTTCCTTTCTTGCTGGCACTTGTTCAATCTGATGAAGAATTCTTTTCTAGTCAAGAGTTAAGAGCCCTCTGCAGTTTGGGTTGAGGTTTTGCCTAGGGCATAGGAGACATCTCAACAGATGCGGCTGCCCAGCAACAAACTCTTATACTAGACTACGAGCTCTTGATAGTGGTGGCCAGTCTGAGTTACCTTTTTTTATTATTTTCATCAAATGTACATCACAGTAGTTCAACTGCCTCCCTCTCCCTCCCCCTCAGTAACCACTAGTCAGTTCTCAGTATCTATGATTCTAACACTGTTTTGTTCCTTCTGTTTTGCTTTGTTTTTATATTCCACAAATAAGTGAAATAATATGGTATTTGTCTTTCTCTGCCTGGCTTATTTCACTGAGCATGATACCCTCTAGATCTATCCATGTTGTTGCAAATGGCAGTATTTCTTTTCTTTTTATGGCTCAATAATATTCCATTGTATATATGTACCACATCTTCTTTATCTATTCATCTACTGATGAACACTTAGGTTGCTTCCATATTTTGGTTACTGCAAACAGTGCGGTCATGAAGACAGGGGTGCATATATCTTTTTGAATTAGGAATTTTGTTTTCTTCAGGTAAATTCCTAGAAGTTGAATTACTGGGTCAAATGGTATTTTAAAAAAATGAACAAGTAAGACTACAGTGAACCTACAGTATGGGAGAATATATTCGTAAATGACTTGTCGGATAAGGGGTTAACATCCAAAATAACAAAGAATTCATATGCCTCAACACCCAAAAAACAAATAACCCATTCAAAAAATGGGTGGAGGACCTGAAAAGACACTTCTCCAAACGGCCAACAGGCGCATGAAAAGATGCTTCACAACACTAATCACCGAGGAAATGAAAATTAAAACTACAATGAGATATCACCTCATGCCAGTTGAAATCGATGATGACCACTATCCAAAAGAAAAGAAACAAATGCTGGCGAGGGTGTGGAGAAATAGGAACCCTCCTACAGTGTTGGTGGGACTGCAAATTGGTGCAACGGCTGTGGAAAACAGTAGGGAGGTTCCTCAAAAAACTAAACATAGAAATACCATCTGAGCTATTTTGTATTTCCTCATAGCACTTAATACTTCAAATAGGAAGCTCTCAACAAATATTTGCTGAATTAAAATTTCCAAATTATGGTACAATCGGTCAAGATATTCAAGTTGAAATACATAAATAAGTTGCCAAGTTTAAGTTTCTTTCAGCTTCTTTCACTTCCAATTATGATCATAGTTCCTGACAAAGGAGCATTATTTGTACTCTATTCTCCAACAAACAAAACAAAATATCATTTAGATTTGTCATCTAAATTTCAAAACACTCAGATAAAATACTTCAGGAATACTCTAATTTTTCTTATTAAGGTATTATTGATATACACTCTTATGAAGGTTTCACATGAAGAACAATGTGGTTACTACATTCACCCATATTGAGTCTCCCCCATACCCCATTGCAGTCACTGCCCATCAGTGTAGTAAGGTGCCACAGAGTCACTACTTGTCTTCTCTGTGCTTTCCCCGACACCATGTGTGCCAATCATAATACCCCTCAATTCCCTTGACCCTCCCTCCCCATCCATCCTCCCCCACCCCTCCCCTTTGGTAACCACTAGCCCCTTCTTGGAGTCTGTGAGTCTGCTGCTGTTTTGTTCCTTCAGTTTTGCTTCATTCTTATACTCCACAAAAGAGGGAAATCATTTGGTACTTGCTTTTCTCTGACTGGCTTATTTCACTGAGCATAATATCTTCCAGCTCATCTGTGTTGTTGCAAATGGTAGGATTTGTTTATTTCTTATGAAGAATACTCTAATTTTTTTGCTTTATGTTTTTTGTTCATTCATCTATTGGTGGACAGTTCAGTTGCTTCTATATCTTGGCTATTATAAACAATGCTGCAGTAAACATATGAGTGGATATATCTTTTTTTTTTTTTCCTGCCACAATCCTGTTTTTTATTTTGGTATCATGGATCTACAATTACATGACAAACATTGTTTACTAGACTCCTCCCTTCATGAAGTCCACCCCACAAACCCCAATACAGTCACTGTCCATCAGCATAGTAAGATGCTTTGGAATCACTACTTGTCTTCTCTGTGTTGCACAGCCCTCCCTGTGCCTCCCCCTACATTATACATGCTAATCTTAACGCCCCCTTTCTTTTTCCCTGCCCTTTATCTCTC